AAAAAAAAAAAAAGCAAAATTTCGATTCAGTCTTTTCGAAGGTGGTTCAGTCAGAGAAACCAAAGGGTGTTCAGCGCCCGCCTCAGTCCTTTATATGGGCCAAAGGGAGAATGAACCTGCCGCTGGCGGTGCGCTGTCACTGAACTGCACCCGCTGGGTGGGAGGGAACGGGCTGGAGCTGCTTCCCCCCGCCCTGGGGAGGGTTCCCCCGGCGCAGCCCCGGGCTCAGCTCCCCCCGTGGGTTCCCCGCTCCAGGAGGGAGGAAAAGCCGCGCTAACCTGACTGGCATGTTTGTCACACACACGCCACTCCTGCTGGTAATTGGCTTTTTGTCTCGAATCCCAGAAGCGGGATCGAGAGAGGGGAGAGCTTTGTGAAATTTAAAATAAATTAAAAAAGAAAAAAAAAGAATAAAAAGAGGGCGGAATTATAGCCCATGCGGGAGAGAGAGGCCCCGACGGAGGGATGAGTTTGTGGATATTCTTGGGAAGCGTCCAACAACCCCCAGAACCCTCCGCTCTGCCTCTGGTGCTGGGTCTCTCGCCCGCGGCGGAGGGTTTTTCAGACCCTGCTCGGAATTTGGCGTTTCTGCCTGGCGAAGAATTTCACAATTGGAGTTTAATTTTGGTTTGAATGAAGACAATGTAAAAATCGCCTGGGGGGAAAAACTGTCAGGCTTCTTGAAAGGTGTGTGGGGGGTGTGTGTGTGGTTGGTAAAACAAAATGTTTTATTTTGACTTGGAGAGATTTTTAAGGAAAAATTCACATTTTGTATAATACAAAAACATTCCCAAGCGAAAAATAGACGTTTTCTACTCTGAAAAAAAAAAATAAATATATTTTTTTGTCTTCCTAAGTGATTCCTTTTCCCCGGGCCCCGCCAGAAATGATGCTTTCTAACAGGGGACGTATCCTGACAGAAAGTTTCCTATCCATTTTGGAAATAGTAAATCTTCACAAAATCCTGCTCAGCAGTGATGAGCTGAGAGAGGAGGAGGAGGAGGAGGGAGAAGCCGATGGATGGATCAGACCTGGGATCTTGCCTGGGACAGTTTGAAAAATTGTCCTCAGTGACTTTGTCGTGCTTGTGCTGGCCCGAGGTGCTCTGCTCCCCGCGGAGGGGAGGGGAAGAGCCGGGGGAGAGACAGGAACGGGGGAGAGCAGGACGTCTTCCAGGGCAAGAACCAGCACTGGGAGCGGGAGAGCCGCCGCTCCTCCCGCCACGCCGTGGCTCAGTCCGGGGAGCAGCTCTGCTCTCCAACCGAAAATGTTGCACCTCGAGCGTCGCGCTTGGCCCTAGAGCTAGGAAACGGCCTCCTGGGCTTCGGCGGGATGAGAACTGCGGCTCTGCCCAGGCTGGGAGGAGTTTCCTCCTACCTCAGCCCCGGCGTTATCCTCCAAACCCGGTTCTAGTCGCAGACTCAAAAAAAAAAAAACAAACCCTCGCGCGGGTCGGTCTGGAGAGCAGAAACGGTCCCGCCTGTGTGCCCGGCTCTGCCCGGTGTGTAACTCATCCCTTTCCTCCCGCCAGCGGAGACCTAAAGACACCAACCCCACGTCCAGGCCTCGGGGTCTCCTCCGCTGGGGTTCGGCTCCGTGATCTGCTGGAGGCGGCGGTGGAATAAAGACGCCCTCGGTTACGGGTCTGCCAAAACCAAGCCACCTGTCTTGGGCGACCGCACGATGGCTCATCCCTGCCTCCAGCGCTGGTTTGACCCCCTTAATCAGCCAATTTTTTTGATGCCCTTGTTGCCTAAGAGAGACCGGAGAGCGTTTAACCCCCCGGACGTTCGGGATCGGGGGTATTTCATGGTCCGTTCTGACATCCAGCAGAGCAGTCGCAGCACACATCCGTCCCCCTCGAGTGCACTTCAAACCTCCGTTGTTTTTTTGTTTGTTTTTGTTTTTATTTTTACCCCGAGCTTTCTTATTTCGAAAACAAGGCGATTTTTAATGCTGAATGTCACATCTGGAAAATATTTGCCTCTTTTTCTTGTTCTGGCGATCAAAGAGCTGAATGGGAAGGGTTTTATCAGAGTGGCTGACACGCATTCTTATTTTTTTTTAATCTCTTTTAGGGATTATGGTTTTATTTTTTTCCCCTCTGATGCATCCAAACAGATCCTTCAAGTGACAGAAAAGGTAAGAAGAAAAATTGAGAAAAAAAACGCTGGGAGGGTGACGTGTATCCCCCTTGGAGAGCTGCAGCGTCCAGCTCTGCCTGAGAGCTCTGGCGGATGGGCGAAGCCTTTTCAGAACCGGCCTTTGCGAGGGGCAGAGAGCCGGGCTGGGGTCAGGAGCAGGTGAAAGAGCGTTGCAAGGGCCGGGTCTGAAGTTTATAAATAATAATTTTCAGGAACCGACTGCCAACAGTAATAATTCTAGCAGTAATTCAAAGAGGAAAGTGGGAGAAGGAATAGTTTAAAAAAAAAAAACAAACACGAAACAAACAGAAATCCTTTCTCTGCAGGGCTGGCAACTGCACATCAGCAACATGAGCCGGACCAGACACGAGTGGAAGTAACCAATCTCCTTCCCAAGGGATGTCAAGCAATTAAAAAAAAAAAAAAAGACAACACCAACTGCGACCAGGAAATAACTCTGTTGGTTTTAATATTTTCACGGATTATTTGCAACGTAGGTAAGGGAATTAGGTTTCCTTTTTTTTTTTTTTTTTTTTAAAAAAAACCCAAACTAAACGAACGCAAAAAAAAACCCCCAAAAACCAGTCGGATGTTACCACATCGGTGCACTTTAAGCCCTGTGAGACATCTTAACATCCCCCTTTCTTGTCTTTCTGCTTGAAGGCGTGAAAACTGAGCCACCTATTTAGCAAAGTGCTTGGCATCACCAGGACAAGGGTATCTGAGCTCTCTTACAGGCTCGGCTTTCGTTTCAGTAGGCCTGATTCTGATCTTAGGGGAGCAACGAGCACTGTCTGCTGCAACCCGGCCTTGCAGGAGGGAGCAGAGTCAAACCCACCAAAATCTACTTTTGGCTCTTGGTTTCCGGCTGCCGCCTGTACGCAACCCTGATTTTTCCATTTCCCCTCAGCTCAAAGAAAAGGGATTAAAAAAAAAAAAGGA